CTTTTTTAAAAACTTTCTCATCTTGGGGGTTTTCCAAATAATGTAGGCAGAGTAAAGTTCAATGTCAAAGTGACACAGTTCTGCAGCAGATCTTGTCTTTCAAGCAGTATCTTGCTGGGGCTGAGAACATAAATGAAAACAAGTGGATGGGAGGAACTTTGTTCCATTTTTACCAGTGGTGGAGAAGCTGTGCTGTTTCTTACCCCTTTTCTAATCCAATCCTTATATGCACTCAAAATGACTCCCCAAATGGTGGAATTTTCATGCCTCTAGTAATCCTCAGAATGTTTTTCTTCAAAGCAAACTAATTGGCAAAGCAACTTTGAAAAGTGCAGACCTACGGTTCACTCTAGAAGTAGGATTTTTGTGAACTTCATGGTAAAAATTTACTGGAATATTAGTGAGGAAAATCAGCAGGGAAGGAATAGACAGGGAAAATAGAGGAAATGAGAGAATTTATGTTATTTGACCACTAACATTACATCAATCCTCAAAAATACTTTCTGTAGCAGATGTTCCCTTCCATTTACAGATGATGCCGAAAGCTACATGGCTGGAACAAGAGTTAAATCCTCAGAAAGAAGTCATGAGCCAAAAAAAGGAGGACCTCGACAACCTCAAATACAGAAAAATTTAAGGCAGGTAAAAGTCCTGTATCTAAGTGGACTCTATGGACTTCTCTTTTTGCCAGGTCTGCTTTAGCCGGTCAGCTCCCTCTGGACCTACCGCCTCATTTCAGTTTTTTACTTCTTATCCTCTCTAATGACACCTTTTCTATCCCCCAGGCTTCCAAAAGCAATGGTGCTGATTCTCTAGATTAGAAGAGTAAGATCACAAATGGGAAGGGAGGAACTACTAAAGGAGAAGCTTCCCCAAACCTCCCTATGTCAGCTTGGCCCCATGCAGAGAAGGCATCCTCCCTTGAAGACTGAATAGACCTGTGCCATAAGGTTCCATAAAGTAATGCGATTCCATAACTCCAGCCTTCTGATGCTCTGGGACATTTTTAAAACTCATATACTCATCAAAAAGCCTCAGCCCCAGCTGTGTGGAAAGTGGCTCTGCAGCTCTCACTTAATTTTGGTTGCATTACCTCATTCTATACATCATTCATGACAAGCAAGGAACCACAGGGCTCCCTGGGCAAAATTCTCTTGTCCTTGACCCAGCTCTAATTTATTTGGCCATTGGCTTCACAAATGTGGTACTGTAGCTGAAGGAGGTCATGCAGGAGTTCTGATGCAGTGAGTTCTTTCCTGGTTGTCAAACAAGCAAAAGGAGCCAAGGCAAATAGAAATTCTGACTGGCCACCATTTTCTTTTCCTTCCCATGCCATCCACATTGCCATGACTCTGGCAACTGGGATGGAAAGGGTGAGAGAGAGGAGATTTTTTTTTTAAACTGTCTTTGGATGGGCTATTTACATCTTCCAGCCTGGTACTTTTCCTTGAACTCAAAGAGAGCACCAAGACAGACTGCAGCGTGACTCCTCTACCCCACAAACTTGAATACATTCACACTCCAGCAGCTGCTCGTGCTGGAATGGAGCTAGGAGTCCCGTGTGCTTTGTGGGCCCGTCCAGGTTTCCTGCATGTCAGGGTAGAAACCTGAGAGCATCTGGCCTCAGGCCTGAAAACGAGGCAGCCCCCAGCCAGGCACCAGGAAAATGGTTTTCTGAGGATTTTATCTTATCTGCAGGCATAGCTTTCTTATCGGTCTCCATCAGCAGGGCTTCCTAACCCTCTTAGGAGGAAGAATATGGAACCAAAGGATTTGTTCTCAACTAGATGGACAAGTAGCAGCATTTGGGGATGGAAGCTGCAAATATTCATTCAGAATGGAGCCAGGAACTCTCCTCCCTCTTAGGATTCAAACATAATCAGATAAAGGAGCTTTCAGGCCCATTCCAATCTTCTGTACCCTCCCCTCTGACAAGGAAGCACTGGTAGAACTCAGGAGCTTCCAGCTGCTAAGTCATTCAAACAGGACAGAGCATGCACATTCTGCTGTGTGTGGACATGAAAGAAAATGTAGGCATTTAAGAACGCTCCAACATCATGGATCAAAGCAAAAGTGCATGAGCTAAGCACAGATTCTATTTCCCCAGAATTCTAGTAATAAAGGCTTTATTTCTGAAGTATTTGAGGATAGTACAGGCTTTTTCTGACACTTTCCACAGTTGGATAAATAAGCAAAACAAAAAGCATCACAATTGCCCAGATTTTCTCCCCAAATATGCAATGTGCTTGAAAAACAAAGGAAGAGCCTAGCAAAAAATATATATCAGCCTGTATTAAAATGACTATTTCTGCATTTGCTTAAGGAAAAAGGAGCTGGAGAAGTTCTCCTGACTGGATCACCTCTGGAGTCTCCTTTTCGTGGGTCCCAGACCGCCTGTAAATCAGAATGACTTTTGTATCTACCCACAGTTCCTGCTGAGTGCCATAGTTCTCATATTGTATGGACCCTAAAACCAATCACTAGAAGAATATATCAGAGAAAGTCTCAAAGGCAGATTAATTTCCCTCCATGAATTCCTGGTTTTCTTCTTTGCCGCCTCTCTGGTCCCATTTCTTAACTGTTTCAGTCTTCTTCTAGACCAGGGATGGTGAACCATTTAGAACTGTCAATGATACAAACAGCCCACTGCAGCAGGTGGGCCATAGGTTCACCACCACTGCTCTAGACTAACCCCAACTTGATCTTTCCTACCAAGGTTTGTCCTAGGACTGGCAGAGCCGACAGGAAAGCTCTTTAAGAATATAGCATTTACTATTAATAGCAGTGACACAGGCCACTGAGAGCCAAGGCAGCTAAGCAAGGAAATCTGTCAGCCTGGGTTAGCTTTCTAGCACCTGGGAGGTAGGACTTATTTATAAATAAAAATAGACAGCAAAAATGTCTGGCCCCTCACAGGCCCCTAACGTCTGTGAAGGCCTGTATGCACCCAAGGCCAAAGGCTTTGCCCAGCTGTCCTCCAAACTCAGCCACAAACTTCTTTTTTTGAAACTGGAATGAAGGAAGGAAATCTTGTTTCAGTCTGAATCCAAACCCATGCTTGCACAGACATGTACCTTCTTCCATGGGTTTCCAATCATTTAACAGGATCTTCAGTACCGCATAACAAATGCCAAATGTGTCACAGTATCCTCTAGGAGTCACTTGTCAACATTATTGAAGGGTTCTCCCCTAGAGAATTATAGAATGGTCGAGGCCCTCTATTGCCTTGCTGGGCCTCCAGGCCCCCTCTCGGGTAGTGCTTCCTCACCCCGAGGGCAGGCCTCTGACTCTAGGCCTTGGTAGGACTCCTTTTCCCATTGCAGAATGGATTACCCAAAGCCAATCAGGACCTTTTCAAAGAAGATTGCATTTTAGAGTAGACTTTTGAGGTTCATTTGCCAAACCCTTGGGTTCTAGAAGCCAGGATTTCAGCTGTAATATAAATACTTCTTGCCAAGTTTAGAGGTTAGCTGACCACAGATGTAATTCACTTTGATCAGGCAATGAAATTATAAAATATTCACATAGGTCTTATTCATGGGGCTCTTTAGATTAGGTCACCTTGTGCTACCATGGTCTCTGGTACAGGAAAGTTCATAGTACCATAGCACCGAAACTCTTCTTTCAAACAGCTGAAGTAATGGGGTACATACACATCCCCATATCCTTGGTAAGTGGCACTCCTGTTGTATAAACTAATACAATTAGCCAGAGTATATTTTTGCACTGTACATCCATCTAACTTTCAACTCTACTCATCTAACTATACTACTTCCTTTTATAAATAATTCTTGCCTTCTATCACGTTAAGAACCAATAACCTATTACCATCTCCCTGCTAGCTCTCCATATTTAGCTCCGTAATCTTCCTCTGATCAGCTTCCCCGATCCCCTCTCACCTCCAACAATTCTTTCTCCTTTGCTCTTCTCCAAATCCCCTCAAGTTCTCTGTCCCTAAACTAAGTTCTACCAAATCAAAGTGGTACTCCAGATGCTTGCTCACTGAGGAGCCGAGAGGCCAGCTGTCACCTCCTGTCTCTGTTACTCTGTGACTCAGGGTACCTGCCTCAGAATAGGTCTGGTCTTCAGGCTGTCTTCTTTCCTTACAGTCTGGCTCCTCCCTGGCCATCCACTATCACCCTTGCTCCCCTTTGGCATTACTGCTTTCCAGGTTTCTCCTCTTCTTGAAGTATATATGTTTCAGGTTATTGTCTTTCAAACTTGAGTAAGACACTGGTTAGCAAGCCCATAAAGAAGATGTCTTTTTTATTGCCCTTATTTGTGAATAGTCCCCAAGTCCCCAAGAACACTTTGATTAATATGAGGCTTTCCAATCTGGTAAGAAAAGGCAGGGAAAGAATGATGTATGATTTTAGATTCTATAAGTACTTCAACAATTTTCTAGAGAAAGTAGCTTAGCAAGCCAGGCTACCTCAGAAAGGACTGGCTGGGCTAAGGAAGGTCCTGGTGCCTTCTTGGAGCTATGGAGAAGATACTTTCCCTGCTAAACTTTCTGGTGTTACAAGGCATTACTGTGGGCTTCTTCATGAGAGTTTGTTGCCTGGGTACTCTTCTATCTTCTCTCCTCCTCCCACATGGTCTGTCTTACTCTCTGGGAGCTCAGCTATGGCAGGTGGCAGGAAGCGTGTCCATGGGGACTGAGGGGCCCACACTATGCCTTGGGGAAGTCCAAGAGGCACTCACTGCAGGATTCCCAGACCCACGGCTTTAATCCTCACAGCTTCAGGGGGAAAGAACAGTCCTATTTTAAGAGGCCCTAGCTGGGTCCAAGTCACTGCCCTTCTTTAAAGTTTGTGAAAGAAATCTTCTTGGCTATTAGCTTTGCATGCTTTATTCTGTTCAGCCTCAATGAACAACTGGTTTACCATGAAATGTAAAGGCAGCTAGTGAAGCAATGGTAACTAAGGAAGCTCTGGAATTATGATAAGAGATGGAGGCAAAATTAAGAGGTCTATGAGATCTAAAAATAAGTCACTAACCGTATGCTATTTCCTCCAGCAGTACATAGACAGATACCTAGAAGAGAAAACCACACACAGTTGCAAGAGTCAGTAAAGAACACTGAAACAAACCACAGCCCTACCTGGCCCAAAGAAGTATCTCTAACCCTTTAGTGAGCAATCTTTTAAGCAACAGGGGGATTTCACTGTAAGGAAGTCATCACTATTATACTTGGGACTGTAGAACTCCCCATGGCCATTGCAGTGACTAGCAACGAACATCATATCACACACACGCCCCTCAGTAACCATTATATAAACCATCAAAAACTGAGCAGGGGCTCTTCCAAAGTGTGTTGCAGAAAAAAAAAACCACATTTTATCCTAATACTGAGTGAGTAAATGCTTTAAACAATTTAATGTTTTCACATTAACATGAATAATAACAGCTAATATAGATTGTATGCTCATAAAGTAATGCATCATTAACTCATTTAATCCAAAACAACCAAAGAGCACCTCCTCTTGAAAATCAGAAAACAGACTTAAAGAGCCACTTGATCAAAACCATACCATGCATGCATGTTAGAATTTGGACTCAAATTCAGAACTTCCTACCTATTCACCTCAAGAATTTCATCACATTTCTGTAGTTTGTTTATAAACCAAATTTTGGATGTGAAGGGTTTTAAATGGCAATTTATTTTAATGGGGAGTCCCCTACCCCTATCAGGCAGAGTTTTCACACATGGAAATGACTTTAGTTAAACCTAGTTTGTACCCATTTCTCAGACCTCTGTACTTAAAATCAAATTCTGGGTGTGGTTGAGCAATGAACAAAAGTAGCTGGGTTAGGGAATAACACCCAAGTTCCATTTCATTCTTTTTCTTTTAAGTGGCTCAATCTAAATGGAATGACCCTGCCCCGAGTTACAAGCTCCCAATTTTGGGGGCTACCTTGGTATTTGTGTTGCTTTGCTAGGACCAACCACTAACAGAGCACCACAGATTGAGTGGCTTAGACAACAAACATTCACTTTTTCACTCCTGGAGGCCAGAACTCTGAGGTCCAGACATCAGTGCAGCTGGCTTCTTCCGAGGCCTGTCTCCTGAGCTTTCAAGATGGATGTCATCTCCCTGTGTCTTCACATGATTTTCCTTCTGGTCGTAATATCCTCTTCTTATAAATACATGGTCATATTGATTGGGAATTCCCCCTAGCACCTCATTCTACCTCTTTAAATGCCCCGTCTCCCAACATGGGCACGTCCTGAGACACTGAAGGGGAGGACTTCAATATGTGACCTTTGGGAAGATTCAATCCAATTAGCTCAGAGCTGTGTCCTAACAACTTCCTTTTACAAGGTTGTCTATGTGGCAACAGGGATCTGACCAGAGGCAGAGCTCTGGCAGTCAGGCCGGCAATAGGGAGCAACTAGAAATACAGACGAAGTTTCACCTGCTCACCTCCTGCTGCACACCCGGTTCCTAACAGTCCATGCCAGTCCTGGGGCCAGGTCTTGGGGACTCTTGGTACGAATGCCTCTGACCCTGATGACCAGGAGTTTGAACCAGTGCTTTTTCAAAATGATTTCATGTGGCCACCTACAACAGATGACAAAGACAATTTTACAGTGATCAAACCATAAAAAATATGTATTCACCACTGGAAACAAAACCTGTCTTTGAGTGATGAAGAATATTAAGGCTACATAAGACAACAATGGAGACATTTGTTTACCCAGCAGAAGTTCATTATCTCACGTAGACCCAGTTAGTAATGGAAGGCACTTGGTGACACTGCCAGAGCTGTGCTTGCAAACTCCTACAAGACACTTCCTTGTTTAATTCGTCTGTTCTCTGCCCCAGTTTCCACAGAAGTGTGCTGATGGCTGCAGCCCTTTCTTCTCCTTATTTTGTCCAGCAGTGCTGAGGATCGTGCCTTGAGCAGGGCAAGCATTCATGAATATTTTTCGATCAATTTGGAAGTTTTTGTAGAATAACCAAAAGAAGATCATGGGGGACTCCATGATGAAGTCATCATTGTACAACACAGTATCTAGTGAATCCCTAAAACCACTCCCAGCCTCTGATTATGAGTTTGAAGTGCCCAAGGAATGGATAACGATACTTGTGAAGAAGGCTTCTGGAATAACTGTGTGATTCTATTTATATAAAATGGGAAGTATAAGAAATCTGAACAAATCTTAAGTGGGAGCCCTAAAGATAGCCCTAGATAAGCAGCACTACTCATAGTAGCTAAATCTTGGGAGCAGCCTATATATCCATCAACAGATGAACGGATAAAGAAAATGTGGTGTTTACACACAGTGGAGTACTTCTCTGCCGTGAAAAAGGGTAAATTTGAGTCATTTGCAAGAAAATGGATGCACCTTGAAATCATAATGTTAAATGAAATAAATCAGACACACAGCTCAAATACTGCATGATTTCTCTTATATGAGATAAGTAAAATATAAGTAAAAATCAAAATAAAAGATAACAGGAAGTAGGGAGATAGCTTTTTCTCAAGTGGGAGGGAGATCAAGAGATAGAGGGAGGGAGGAGGGAGGGGAGGGAACAGGGATGAAAAAAGAAGTTAAGTGTTATGCATGTACACCAACTCCACACAAGGAATATAAACATTATGTACTACAAACATGTACTAATAAAAAAAAATTTTTTAAGGTAGTCCTAGATAAAGCTGATTCCAGTGTACACAAAAGCTGGACTGAGGTGCTGAGTCAACCCAAAGCCCCCAGCAAACTGGAAGGGCCTCTCTCCCTTCCCCTGTGGTCACTGTCATTTCTCCTATGGAACCCCATGCTCCTGTAACTGAAGTTATGCCTCAGAGCTTATATGTCCAGAGCTTTTCTCCAAGAACTATGTGACGAGCCACAGCCCACTTCTTTACCTAAAAGTCTAAAGTAACAATGACTCAAAGGAACATATAAACATATTGGTGCTTAAGACTGGGCCGCGGGGTCCCTCAGCAAATATGTCTAAAACCCTGGTGTCAGGGTTAAATGAAGAGTCCTTTCTCAGACAAAAACATCGTCCTCAGAACAGAATGGGCAGTGGGATGTGATTGGAAGGACACTCATGGATCTTGACCCTGGGGAACCTGCTGTGGTAAACAGATCCCTCCTTTCAGTTCACAGTCTCTATCTACAACATTGCCCCAGGTCTATTTGTCCAGGGTGACTCTGACCACTTCTTCTTGAACTTCTACACCTCGGAACTGACAGAACTACAAAATTCCTCGGCCTATGAAGAACCAGTTTTGAAAACAGAGACCAGACTGAGATGAGTTTATGGATTTACTGATCATTTAAGGAAGCAGAGATAGCATGATGTGGTGTTTGAGGCAAACAAGCTCTGAGGATTTAGGTGGTAGCCTCTGAGATGTTTCACAGTCCAGGACTCTGGAGAAGATCGTACCCCTTGGTCTGGGAGCCTTTATCTGAAGTGCGGCTTTAAGTAGGTCAGAAATGCACTGGCATATAGAAGCAGGAGCAGAGCTAGGGATAGTGAGCTACTATCCCCCAAAGAATATGTCTCTGCTAAAACTCCTGGAACTGAGTTATCATCCCTCAGAAGGCACTGGTTCACAGACGGCACTGATTTCTATTTGTGAAGAAGGCCACCAATTTAGATAAACAAAATAGACATATGAACAAGAGAAGGAAATTTCAGGTGTAAAATATGGTATAATTATAGACCCTGGTCTATTCAAGCCCCTTTCAATAATGCTTAAGAATATAGACTCAGTAGGGCCTAGGAGAGAGAATTCCTCCAAAATAGCAACTCTGGAAAATGAGAGAGGATGTGAGGGCTCCGGAGATGAGTCACACTGAAGCCATCACTACACAACCATCACCCCTTCCATCAAGGCAGAAAAGAGTCTGAATGAGCCACAACTTCCATGATCTCATCAGCAAAGATATTAAGAATCTGCTGCTCCTCTAGGAGGAGGATTGGGACAGCGCTACCAATTATTTCATCCAGAACATTTCAGTCTGATTGGACGGATAGGCCTGGGGAAAAAGACAGTCTATCTCCCATGGTAGTTTGCCCTTAATCTTTTCGGGAGGATACAAATATGATGGGAATAAGATATGGCTGATGTCTGCTGCTTCAGAAAAAGGACCAAATTTTGACATCCTGAAGATTTGGAGAAGATTTGAGACACTTTCATTTCAAGTAGGTAGACTGACGAAAAGACAATAATGAACTTACACAGACTAAAAGCCCAAGGGTGAAGATGGCTGAGTGCTTGGATGCATTCAAGATTCAAGTAATATGACCAGAAGAAGAAAGAGTGAACAGTGACTGCCAGGACAAGGATTGCCTCTTACAACAGGTGAGTGGCCTTGAAGCTTGTGTTTGTAGAAACGTTTTTATCGTAGCTTGGATTTCCCTTCAGAAAGCAGGGCCTGAGATAAAGGCTTGCATGTGGGTCATTTATTTACAGAAATGAATCAGGGCATGGTTGGGGACTAGAAAGAATGAACTGGAAATAATGGACAACTGAATTCCTGAAAATATCCCACACTGCAAAATCAGAAAATGCCAGAAGCAGAAAGAGAAAAAATAGATGATGTAGGTGGTTTCCATGGCAACAGTCAGGGTCAAAAGTGGAGAAAGAAGATGTGAGGTGAGACCCAAGAGTTGCTGGATATACCTCTCCTCTTGTAGTCTTCAATAGTTTTACATATTGTTTCTGGTTAATTTTTAACCAAGAATAACTGTAAAGACCAAACACCAGAGGGCCAGGCATAGTATTATATGAGGAACAGTAGGGAAAGACTTGGGCTTGAATTTTTGCTCAGGTACCAACAGAGTCATTTAGTCAATTAATCTCTCTCGCATCGGTAACACATCAATGTCAGTGTACCGAGTCTAGGTGATCATTATGAGTATTGTTAATATGTAAAGTCATAGGACAACTTTACTAAAAGTGTTATTTTCATTTCCACTATTCTTAACAAATTTTAAATTGTGCATACAACCTAAATGAAATTTTACAAGTGGCCTCTCTCACTACTTCCACTTCCCTTCAGTCTGTGAAGCTTGCAATGTATGATATTTAAAACAACATCTGGGCTTGGGAAGCAGCTCAGTAACAGAGCACCTGTTCAGCATCCACTGAGGGCCTGAGTTCAACCTCCAGTGCTTCACATATACACAAATCCTCCAACTCATTGCAGAGCCACGCAGCATCTCTCACCAACAGAAGAGTTACCAAATATCATTGAAACTGCTTCAGGGTTCACCACCAAGATTTCCCCCAAGTTCTAATCTATTGACAATGTATCACCCATCATTTTTTAAAACTCACTTAATCTACAACAAAGGAGTGATTTTATATCCAGCACTGGAATGCAGTTTCCAGGCATTTAGGAAAAAATACATTTGTTATCGTTGACAGAAGCTCAAACGCTTAAGCATTTGCTTTCCAAAGTTTCAGGAAAACATGCTGAGAAAAGAAGATGCTGAACCCAGATGTGATCCCAGATCCTTGACGTGACCCTACAGTCAAGACAATTAACCATGAAGTTCCCCCCTCAATTCTAGAGTCAGTGTGGACCCAGCCCACAGACTTCATTTCAGTCCCAGAGGCTCTCTGCCTGTCTCTTCAGAAGTTTCCCTTACAATGCACATAAGCTCAGGTGCTGAGTATTTGAATCAACCTCACGACATTCAGACTGTGGAGGTCCTAGCTTCTTAGAGACTAAACGTACTAATCTGCCTCATCTCTCTCTTTAATTTTGGCCTTCAACCTGGCTTTAATCCTAAAGTGATTTAAATGTTTTCAGTTAAAAATCAAACCACCCTTGGGTGAGGGTGGACAGAGATGGCTCATATCAGACACCTGTGAAAGAAACTCTTAAATGCTCAGGTCTCCTTTAGCTCCCCCCAAATACCCTAAACTCTATACCAAACTGTATCATTCAATACAGCCACAGCCAGTTGCCAACCAAACGAATATCTTTAAATGCTTTGAAAAATGTCTAAAATCCCTCTGAGCTATCCTTCTCCATCTCCCATAGGTGGATTTAGTGGGTGTCACACAGACTATAATTTAAGTCAGTCCATTTAAGCACATTCTCCAAATGTAATGAAAACCCAACTAGTTGTTCCTTCATTGTGTACTAGTAGTTTAACATGGGAAAGAAACCAGCAAGTAGCCCATACCTTTAACAGTTCCTCACCTAGAATTTTAGGAAATTTGGAAGAGAAAAGAAAAATAGTAGAGGTAATAACAGTTATGAACAAAATCATAATTGAGATAAAGTTTTAATATAAGGAGCAAGCAGGCATGGTGGCACATGCCTGTGAATCTCAGCACTCAGGGGGCTGAGACAGGAAGGTCACTGTGAGTTTGAGGTCAGCCTGGGCTACACAGTAAGATCTGCCCCTATCTCAGTCCCTCCATCTCAACCCCCCCACAAGAGAAAGATAAGGAACAATCTCTAATAACCAATGTGAGGAAAAAAGGGGACCTCAGACAAGTTGCATACATGAAAGCAGGTAGGGATTGGCCTGGACTGGAGAACACACTGTTTTCTAATGACATCAGCAGCCCTGGCCCAGTT